AAGATTGGTTGTTATTAGAATTTAAATTTTCTATTGTTTGAAGTATATAGTTTTTAAAGGTATTAGAAAGTTGCCAAAATGAATAATAACAATTAATAATATGTAAAGTATTTTCTAGTTGGTTGCATCGTGTATAGTTTGGGGTTAAGTATAAGTATAGATATTATATATTAAGATTTAACATTGTTGGTAGATTGTCAAGAATAATTTTAATGCATAAAGTATATAGATTTGCATTAAAATTTTGGGAATTGAGAATATTAAAAAATAGTTAAATATCAAAAGTGGGATTGGTTTAAAATTTTTTGAGTTGAAGGAAGTGATTAAGTATATAAATAGTATAAAAGGTTTTAGTAAGTTTCTAAATTGCTGTGAAAATTGTATTATTATATCATGAAAAATAGGGTATTGGGATTAGATAGTTGTAATTTAGTTCAATTTTAGGCTGATAACAACCTTCTTTTGCTAGTCTGTCAGTGAAGAGTTTGGTTTTTTTGAGTAAGATTCTGTTTTGTGTATAGTGTATGTGATATTTTTAATTTTAAGAAAGTAATTGATAATATAAAGAAGATCCTAATTTTCTTGTTTAATTTAGATTGGTTGGTCTGTTAGAAGATTTTGAAGGTTGTTTATTGCTGTAGTATTATCTATGTGGATATGAAAATGTATATTACTTGGAAGTATTAGAAGTAGATAAATAATTGGTTTAGTTTCTAAACAATTGGTATTTTGTGTATTTGCTGATGCAGAGTAGAAATTAATTTGTGTGTTGTTTTCTAGAAACCAGCTAATTTCTGCTTAAATACTGTATTTGGTGATCTGGCATTTTGTATTGAAGCATCTGAGTAGAAATGTAGATTATCTGTAGGTATAGTTAAAAGAAAATTTTGTAAGTTTATAAGTTTGGTTTGGTATAATGGGGTTAGAATTGTATTTTCTATAATTGATGTATTAGAATTGTTAATTTGAGTAAAGGGTGTTAAAGAAGGTAGTGAAGTTTGAAGTGATAAGGCAATTTTCAATAATGTTTGGATTTCTGTAATATTAAAAAATAATTGATAAATATTTTGGTAGTGAAAACTTTTGCAAGTAAAGTTAATAATTTGATTAAATAATACTGTATGTTAAATAATTATTAATTTAAAGTATATATATAAAAAAAAGATAATATATATATTTATAATTAACAAAGTAAATTTATTAAATATCTTATAAAGTTTATTTTCTAAATTTTTAAACTCACCTTATATATTTTATTAATCGCTTTATAACACTATTATAGCAATGGAAAAATATATTATATGTCTTGATAAATCTAATGAAAAAGTAACTCAAAAATCTCAAGCATCTCAAGAAATTCAGGAATCTGCAGAATCTCAAGAGTTTCAAAAATATCAAGAATTTCAAGAATCTCAAGAATTTCAAGAATTTCTAGAATCTTAAAAATTTCAGGAATCACAAGAATTTTAAGAATCTTAAGAATTTCAAGAATCTTTAAAATCTAACATATTAACTAGTTTCTCAGTTATTAAGCAACCAAACTTAGCCAAAAAACCTAAATTAGAGTGGCTAACTAAATTAAAAATACTTTTAATCCATTATAGCGAAGCTGATATCTATAGCTTAAAGATCAAAAAGTAAATAAAAAAACTCAAATATTTTGTACTTGGTGTCAAAATATAAAAGCTAAAAATATTTTTGTACAGGAAGGATGTGAATAGCTTAAAGAGGAGTCTTTAATACGACATATTAAAATTTGTAAACATATTAAAGCTGCTAAAGGTAAAAGTATAGAGCAGCAAACCTTATTTAGCAGTTTTACAATTCAGTATGGTGAAACAAAAGCAAAAGCTTTAGCAAGTATGCGTAATATTTATTTTTTATCAAAACACCACTTAGCTTTTAATATTTTTCTGGATCTTTGCAATTTAGTAAATTTCATACATTTAAATTATAATGAAATAACTTATCAAAATCCATCTTTGTACTCTTGATCCATCTCATCTTTATTTCGAAGAAAATAACAATTTTGATTCTACTAATGAAAAAAATTATGCTACTTATCAAAATCTTGTTGCTGGACGTGAAATGTTAAAATTATTAGTATATATAATTGAGAAAGACACTATTGCAAAAATTAACAACTCACCATTTTGGAGTATTCTTTTTGATGAATCTAATACTATTATGAATGAAAAAACTCTTGCAATTGTTTCAAAACATATTGCTAATAATATTCCAGTAATACAATACCTTGAAATGATTTCATTAAATGAAACTATAGCTGAAGCAATTTTAATAAATTTAGAATTGTTTTGTACTGCCAAAGGGCTTGACTTAACTTGCTTAATTCATTTTGGTTCAGATGATACAAGTAATATGACCGGTAAGCTATTTATTACTATACTTTTATATATATATATATATTTTTTTTGGCAATCCTGCCTTTATTGTATAAGAAATGTATAATCTAAATATATAAGTTTCTAGCTAATGTCAACAACTTTTCCTTCTTTTCAATAAAAGCTTACCCGACTGCTCAGAGGTACCCAGATGCGATTTGCCGCAGCAACTCTTTTTCTCGCTTCTGGCTTTCAACTTACTGAAAGATTATCTATTAGATTTTTGGACGGTAGTTGTTAGCCTTGTCAGGACTGTGTTTAAGTTTTGTAACTGTGTGGTCTATAAAGCCTCAACTACTTCGGTTTGATATTAGTTGTAATTACCTTTCTAACTTCTTTCTTTGTCTCTTTCCACAATTTTTAATCTGTCTTTTCAGCTGAAATTCTTTCAGTTCTTGCCTCTTAGGTTTTTCTTTTCTTGTTTTTTTTGTATGTTGAATCGCTTCTCTCATTCTGCTTTCTTTTCTGTAAGTTTGTAATGCCTCTGCCTTGCTCCTATTCATTTATAGCTTCACATCTTAGTTGCCAGATTACCTCTTGAAAGCATTTTCATAGCTTGTGGTTGTAAATTCTTCAGAGCTTTCTTAGTAGTCTGTTCTTGTTTCTAAGCTTTCAGAAGATTTCTCTAATACAATTAACTCTGTTTTTGTATTTGGCCTCTTGGTTATCTCCAATTATTTCTTCTTTTGTGATGCTACGTATCTTTTCTTCACTTTCTTTCTGCTCTTTTTTAAGCTTTTTCTCTTTAGCATCCTTAAATGCTTCATTTTCTATTTTGCTCCACAATCTCTCATATATTTCACATGTGGCTAAATAATCTAAATCTTCTTTTTTCCAGAAGCATGCGATGCAAAAATCAAACAGATAGAGGTTTGGATTTCTTCTGTGAAGCACCTTCAGAGTTGACAGCAATCTGTTTATACACTTTATCTTAAAAACCCAACTATAACTATCCTTAAGCTTCTGTATCTATACCCTATCTCTTTTCTTTGCATTTCTCATATTTCTCTTTAGTCTAACCATTTTTCTTCTGTGCTACTTCTAATTAAACTATCTATATATTTGTTATTTATCCAATCTATACTATAATATATTTTCATTATACTATCTATCATTTCTCTAATAGGTATATCAACAATATAACCATTCTATCTTGGTAATACCTTTACTATTTTGGACTATTTTACTCTAAAACTACAACACTCTTTAAAGCTATTTTCTTCTTTTGCTAGCTTATTGGCTACCTCATTTAATTTAATCCCACTATGTCCTTTCACCTTTACGAAGCTAATATCAACACCTTTTATCTCAACTAAATTTATCACCATTGCGATAATACTTCTATTTTTAAGCTTAGTAGTTTTTGTGTCATTTGGGCTAGCTCTTACCTTTTCAATAATACTGATTGTATTTGTACAGAACCCCGGACATCTCTTATATAGGTCATACTTGCACTTTAGTAAAAAGTTAAAAATTTGGCCTAAAGTCTGATTTTTAGTTTTAGCAAATTAATAATACAGTAGGTTATAATTTAGCATTTTGTCAAAATTACATCAATTTTATGTATATTATATTTTATTTTTAGCAAATTATCTGCATT